GGACAAGAGGCAATTATCCTTGGTTGATATACGGATATAACGGTTTCTCAGATATATCAACTAATTTAGAGAATAGGTCAAAAGTATATGTTCAGAGTAAATACGATACTCGTTTATTAACAATAAGATATGATTTATAAGGAATATATCTAGCGAACGTGAAATATAACACACACAGCACACCGACTCTAGCTGAAACTCCTGCTGCTTATATATCTTTTGAGCGGTCTAATTGATCTATTTTTAGCAGCTACTTCTAATATTCTATCCGTAGTCTGATTGTATACGTTTGAACTAACCGTACTGAAATCCGCAGCTGTGTTGGGTTACCGATTGATTTGGACTGCGGCACCGCTGGAGAAGCGCAGAAATAAGGAGAGAATACGTCACAAATTTCGGCGCATCACAATTAACAAGTTCAGCGTTATAAAACGGAAAAGGCTTTCAATACTCAAATCTTAATTCTGTGTTGGAAATTTTCTTTAAGAAATTGAGTGGCTTACATATCAGCATTTTCTTTTTGAAACAGCCAATCCTGGAGTTGTCAGAGCTCAGCTGGTTGCTATGGTGTTTTTACTAGAAAAGCAAGTGTCTCTGAAATGGCCAAAGAAATAAAACTTTTTCCATCCTAGTATAGTACTAACCCCACCTCTTTTGGATTACAAAAGGCAAGAATATATTTATCATAATATTCGCCATTTGTTAGAGATGAATTTAAAAATATTACTTGCCCACAGCCAATGTCTACAGGTAATAGTAATAGTAATGAATAGAATATTTAGACTAAAATTTCTCAATCATTTTAATGCTTGTTAATTTCCTTGCTGTCATTAAGTTCTTCATCTAATTTTCAATGAATCTTGCTAGCTTTTCCCGCTTTTAATTTTTAAAGCTAAAATGATTATATACTTTATATGCCCTCATAAAAATAATAAGTATACAAACAGAATAAATAAAAATAATATGGTAAACACAATAATAATGACAGAACTTGAACAAAGAAATAAAGCACAATACATTGATAAACATTAAAAATTCACAACTATTGAAGGAGTGAGTCTTTTTGAAATGCGTACTGAAACCCAGAAAGCAGACTTATTTTTAGTTAAATGTTCAATAATTGCAAACATTGTGAGTCACTGTATATAATTAAAAACAATGTTAAAATAAAACAAAGCTTTGTTGATAAACTCTAAAAATTGTGAGTGATTTAATACTGTAATATTATGATGATAGTATTGTGAAACAGAATTTTTATGTTAGGAATTTGTAATATGTTTATATTAACATAATTATGTCTCAGTTGCAGCCAATAATTTTGAGAATTTATTTCCCCGACAAATATTCCCTCGAACTTATTGTCGGCGGACCCGTTTGAAATAAACCCTTTCTTTTGAGTTAACTTCCAGTGGAGTTAAATTATTGAGGTGTGTCAAACCTGGTTCTAAAAGGCGACGTATTCCTCAATGATTTCTGCTCAATTTCTTATCTGTGGCACAGTAAATATTTGGCACACAAGATTCGACCGCTTCGGGACAGATTTGGTGTCAGATATAAATAGAAATATAGATGACCCGATATATCCACATCTGGTGTCAAATGTAACATAGCTGGTGTCAAATTACTACGCAGCTAAGCGCTCCCGATATATCGAAATATGGTGTCAAAATAGTGAAACGGTAGAAGCGGTTGTAGTTTACATTGTCTTCAGTCTAGTCTTCAGTATTTGATTCTATTTGTCCTTATAATCCTTGCAATTAGAATAGCTCTTTGAATTCTAATAAATCTGAAATTAATATAAATTGTTATTTTCGCTCATTCCCTGGTGAGTTTTTATTCGATCGCTGGTTAAGTAATAAATAGCTTTCTCGATCAGCGGTTAATAAGTTTGATCTCTCCTATCGAACTTATCGGAACTTAGGCATCAGGATTTCTATTTAATTGCATGTTTAACGCGTTACTATTTATAAACTTTCCCCGTCGATAGATTTTCGTTAATAATCCCTAGCGAATCATAATCGTTGTTTGACTCGGAGGTTAAATAGAATCTAGAGAAAGCGTATACAGATAGTCGGATTGTAAATCCGTGAGTATTGATAAATCTTATTTAAGTCACTAATTGGATAGAGGTTTAGCGATAGTAGGAACGAGCCTAAGAGTTCCGCCGGAAGACGACTAAATCCCAAGGTCGTTACACGAACGCTCTCCCACGTGTAGCGATCCGACAGGTGACATATATTGTCAGATAAAATAATAATAATTCTGTAAAATCTTGTTAGATGTTCGTTGTTTACCTATAAAATGTATGTAAACATAGATTTGACCTAGAAATTTAATGCCATTAGGGAATGAAGTTTCCCTGAATTGTCTATTGAGAAACTGCCACATCGACACAAAAGGCGAGCATGTAAAAAAAATTGGTTTAAAACAACTCTACCGTTCACATGTTTAATAATAGCTTTATTTAGTGTAGTCAACTGTGTCATTGTTCAGCTATGACAACGTGCTAAGCTTATTTGGTCCTTTGTTTATGAATTAAATGCGTCTGTTTGCCTGTAAAAAGATTTGCCATGTGCCCGACTGAAATGCAAGAGTTCTCTAAGCTTATAACAGCATTGATGTCTCAAACGACAAATCTTGGGCTAATAAACCGAATTTGGAAATCAATAACTTTATATAGGGTGTGCAAAATAATAAAAGTTGGAGCATATCTCAACCTCTACTCTACTGCTCCTGTACACATTTCTCGCGAACTACGATGAGTTTGCAGCATTGAAGAATCGCGGACAAATTGCACTATTTGTGTCGGCGTGAACAGGTCGCTGCGAGACTTGAAGCCCTCTGCAATTTCACTTACACGCTCCTGTATTGTCAAAAATTTCGTCGTGAGTTTTAAAATAGAATAATTTTCTTAAAATGCCAATAAAAAAAAAGATACATGCTTCCAATGCTATGAAGTGACAAAATGTCGACTCGACTAACGACAGGGACATCTTGTCAATGGCCAACCTCGTACAGAGGAATGGCCATGTTCGGTAAAGGCCATCAAATCTCAGATCCATGAAAAATGATTCCACCACGTCCCCTAAATGAAAATCAACATAAGCATTATCTTTAAAAAAAACAACTCCAATAGATCATACACTATACGTATATACCCATATTCGTGAAAAGCGCAGCTTTGGCCGGTCCACCCTTTGCACTAAGTTGATTATTTATTGATTTCTTTGCATGCAGCTGCACCTTGATAAAGCCTTTCACCTTTTGTAAAGGAGTGTATCCAAGTGGCTTAATCTCGGAGACCAAGAGAGGAATGTCATCAATTACACAAGATAAATGCCTCATATTCGGGAGGCGGACTTCATAGTCCTTGAAACAGTCCAGGAATATAGGGTGCACGTACGGATATAAAAGCCTGTAACAGTGCAAGTCTTCTGATAAGTTCACTGGAGACTGCTCAGGAAGACCGCGCCTATAAAATATAACAAAATTAGGACTAAGCTGCTTCAATCTCCTCTCCAAATAAAAATAAGCCAATTACAGATTATTAAACGTGCTGGCAGCGGCCCTGCTCAGTTCAGAATTTTCGGCATTAAGATAGCTGTCCTCGTCAAAGATATGTTTCCTCGCTGCATCTTGTAGAGCATCTGAAATCGGTGGTGGGATTATAGGTTGTTGAGTTTTGTACGGATTGGTTTGAACCACCTCACGCCATTCGAGCAATGAAAAAGTAGGATACGGGCATGGGTATAAGAGTACGATAATTGATGCTAATGCCCTAAAGTAGGTAATTATGATTTAATAATTGCTCTTTGGACTTTTGATAATACTTATAATACTTACAGAATTTCGTATGTGTTTTCCCACGTCAATCTGTCAGACTTCGCTTTATTGATCACTTTATGCTGATATTGGCGAAATTTCTGAGTAACATTTATATTGCCAACAATCCACTAAACAATAATGATAGTGTTAATGTGAGGACCAAGAGTCAAAGGTCATCTTGCTAATTACCTCGACTAAGGGTTCCTTTTCCAATTCCTTGGATATCCTAGCGAGATCAACTTCTAGGAACTCCTCCAATTCCTCCTCCGATTCTTCCTCCGATTCTTCCTGTAACCTCTCTGTTTCAGCAATCTCTTCTGTTTCATCTCCCTCTGCATTTTGTTGTCGTTGCTGCTTTCTATCGCGTTTCTTGAAAGGGTGCATCTCGGGATCATGAGGTAAAGGGCGCTTGGCCGGTTTTGTCTGAAAAAAAAAAGAATCAGCAACAGAGCTGCAAAGCGATGATGTTGTGCTCCTTATCAGCAGAGAAAGATGTCTAATCTATGTAATCAACGAGACACGTTTGTCATTGTTTTGAATTCGAGAAGTACACTGAATACTAACTTTATTTTCGCTGTCATTGCTGTCGTCTCTTGATGTAATTCGCCTCAAGTTCGTCACTGCAGCGCTAGTCAAAGCATCGTTAACATGTCCCACCTTATAGAAAATGATTAGTTCAGTAGTTATAAAATGTAAAAATGTACTCATATCGATAGAGAAAACAATACTTGAGCACAATCCAAATCACTTCCAGGATATCGCTTGTTCTAACACAAGAAATAAAAGGTAAGTAATAATGCAATTCACAAGAAGCACATAAAATATAAGCGCCGTTCCAGGCCATGCCTCCGAATAGGTGTTCAGAGGATCAGCGAATAGGGGATTCCTCCTAGCATGGTTGATTATAGTTCACACCTCGTTTAGCCAGGCTAAGCGAACCACGACTTTTCCGAATAGGCATATCAGAAGCACAGCGAATAGATTATCTCGGAAGTACAGCAAAAAGTTATACAGCCAAGGTGTGCTTCCTTGTCATGGAGATGCAAACCATATGCTTCGGGTGGCAGCAAATAGGGGCACAGCATCGGCAAAATGATTCGAATCATATGTGAACCTTTATCCTGTTACAGAACCCATAAAATCATAAAACATACGTTTGCTTTCTGGTACTGTTCCATTTGAGTCGAAGAGCGCGTATCAGTCTGACGCGAGTGTAATCGATATTAAATATGCAGATCATCTCGCTCCCGTGAAAATCACTTGACTTTGGACGAATAATTTGATCAAATACAGTCAGACCTCTTTATAATCACCAAGTCCGTTGCACCTCAAAAGTGGTGATTGTAGAGGTGTGGCTGTAATTATAAAACATCTATACAACTACCACTATAATTAATTAAAATAATGTGCAGTGATTATATAGAGGATTTTATGTTTGTATTATAAAACTTAATAAAATAAAAATGTGAAACAATAGAGTAGTAATAGCGATAGTGATTATAAAATTCATTTATTGTTTATTGATTATTATTTCGTTAATTATTATTTAGAACAGCATAATTATGACAATAAAATTTTTAACTAAAAAAATTGATTATTTGAACTTGCTTTTTAGTTTGCATTTGAACTGTTTTAAGATACTTTTTAAAAACGCGTACATCTTCGTTTTTAAATTCATCCATTTCTTGCTGTTCAAAGAAAGTCACCCAAGTTTGTAAAGACTTTATTGCATCATCTAAAGAAACTAATACCAGCTCATCTTCAGAATCATTAAAATCATCCTTTTCTTCATTCTTTTCCTCTTGAATCAATTTAATGATATCATTTTCATTTAAAACATCTTCAGTTAGTATTTCTTCTTCTAAGCCACAAAAATCATTCAAAGCATCTGCCAAAGAAGCAACAAGAGGTTTGTCAGATGCCACACCTAAGTCTTCAATAAATTGATTAGTATCTGCCACTTGATATCTTGCTGAATTTGCGTCGCGTTGGCTATATCATTGTCACTAGTAGTGGGTAATATCCCAGTTTTAACCCAACAATTAAAGATCGTACCACTGCTTACATTCTCCCATGCATCTGCCAGATAATCAACAGCTTCCTTGATAATTACCTTTTCTTTATTTATATCCTTGCCTTCTTCAAAAAGGTTTAAAATGTGTCGGCAATAGTTTCGTTTATAATGGGCTTTAAAACTTTTGATAACTCCTGCATCAAGTAGCTGAAGATGACTCGTGGTATTAGGAGGTAGAAAGCCACCTGTGCGACGGCGCATTGTCAATTATTTCGCGCTCTAAAATGGTTTCCAAATGTCCACGCTTTGGGATTTGCACAATAATGAAACGGGAAGCCGTTGTAAATTAATTCGTGAAAAAGGTCTCGGACGTTTCGCATTACCGATTACCCATGGCATAAGTTTATCAATTCCTGTCGCATTGACACCAAGAAGAACCGTTATTCCAGTTTTATCTTTCTTTGGCCAAGAACAGGTTTGCTTGAAAGTGTTTGATTCGGTGGCATTCTGTAAAAAAGACCTGTTTCGTCGATATTATCAAGGGTAAACCGGCCCAAAGTCTACGCAATTTCGTTCGTTCTTCTGTAAGAGATTCCAATGGGGCGCTTCCTGCTTCTCCGTGTGCACATCTTTGAATATTGTTGCGTTTTTTAAATTTCTCAAGCCAGCCATTAGAAAACATCAATTCACTTTCTTGTATGTTAAATGCTTGAGCGAAAACCCTAGCTTTTTCTTTAATTAACAAATCAGTTAAGGTAACGCCTCCCGCTGTTACATTTTCTTCCCATAGACTCATAACATGATCTAATACCTAGTTTTTTAGAAAATTCATTAAAACTGCGTACCTAAATGTTTTAGTCGAAACTTCAGCACTAACTACGGCCTTCTATTTGTCTTTTTCTTTCAAAATTTTAGACACAGTACTTCGGTCAATCTTCACATTAAGGTTTTTTTCGTTAAAATATTGAGCAATTTCATGGTGTTTTTGGTTTTTATTTGCTTCCGCCCATTCGCATATTTGACGCTTAATGTCATCACTAATAGCTGAACGACGTTGTTTAGGCTGTCGATCTGGTGGCATAGCAAAGAAACAAGATAAGTAGGTGTCGATAGAAATGATTGAACAAAGAAGCAAATGATAATCACTGATAATCAGTCTCATTAATCTGCGGCCAATCGGAATTAGTGATTATAGAGAAGTCAAATTACTAATAAAAATAATATGTAAAGAGGTAAATTAACTAAGCTAAAGTCCGTTTCACAAAACAGCGTGCATGACTGTAAAGAGGTCTGACTGTATATGAGAAATTCCAATTATAATGGTTCTAATGAATATGAAAAAGGAATGCGCTTCTTGGAGACTGGTTGCAATTGTGGTTGCTCAAAAAAGATTCCGAGAGAAAAATTTGCCGAGTTACGTGAAGCGTTTCAAACTCTCTGGATCCGAACATGACATATTTTTAATGGCCCAGTTGAAAGCAATGAATTAACTACCAGCCGACGTCTTAAAAAGAAAACGCGTGCTAATAAAAGAACTTTTTATTATTGAGATCGCAATACGCCTCTTTGTCAGAAAACGTATCTCAATATGTTGGGAATTGGCCACACTCACTTCGAAAATGTCAGAAATCGCCTAGCGACAAATGGTATAATATTAAGGGGTCTAACTGACCAAGAATGAGCAGATATGTTTCCAGTCTTAAAAGATAGTATCAAGATTTATCGTCCAGTAGGATATTTCTATTGGAAAACTGTTAGGTGCCAATGAACCTCCTCATTTTGCCTAAGTATAAGAAAAATGGTCGACATTACTGCATGGAAGAAAATGCCAAACAAATTACAACAGCTCTCCAGCCATATCAGAATAGAGTGGTTGCTGAAAGAGTAAAATAGTGCTAAGCTATGTGCTAATATTAATACGGGAATTATGGGCATCTCCACCAAGGCTCACTTACCTAAAGAAATTGGTGAATGCTCAAAGAGTTGATGCAGAAGATGGAAGATAAAGATGCTTGTCATGATTTCACTGTTAAAATTGACTTCGAGAAGAGTGAAATCTTAAAATGAAGAATCGAAAACTCCTGCACTTTTGCCAATGATTATCGTAATTCTGAGCTGGTAGTTGGTTTATTTCCTAGATACAAACTGCAAAGGTGATGACTACAAAATGAAGCACGACTACTGATAACAAAATTCGAGGTACTATGGAAAACGAACGCAACTGAATTAGAGAGCCATCTTGGCTACGGCCGGGATAACAGCGATGGTATGCAACTGGATGCTAATGAGGAAGCCAGCAAAAGATAGAAAGGATAGCGCCTTTTCAACCACAGAGCCACAACTGATCGATGTCTGGTTTTGTTGCAGGACGCCCCATATACAGGAAATGGAAACAAATTTGACAAGCAACAGTTTATAGTTTAATTAAACATGCATGAGAATTAATTTTAGAGCAATGCAATTAGTTAATAAGCTTGTGAAACTCATGAGTGATATACAGTAACCGTCTCCCCTGAATACGTAGTAATAGTAAGAGACGATGATCAAATACTTTCAAAAGGATCAGAGAACAGTCGTTTTTTTTCCGGCAAATAAAATAGCTTGTTTATTGTTTCCCACTAATACAAGGAATGGGGGCAACAATTGCAATAATGTAGATTATGTAATATTAATATACCCGACCAACTTTCTATTAATTCTTGTCTATACTACGCAGTATTGCGTAAGCTTGTTTAGATGGACACACAGCTCAATCCAAAGAGTGATACTCATTCGTAGTTTGAATATCCGTCACTGGTGGGTTTGATTATTGTGCGAGAATAACAGTAGATGGGGAAATAAGACGGTTCTACGCCTTTTTACTAATTAAAGCATTTGATTGGCATCTTCATCGTGAGAATTTACTAAAAAAAGTGCTCGTTATAATAGGGTATGGGCATATTTCAACGATTTTCCTTGCTTACTATAATTAAGTTTGCATAGATGTCTCAAAATACTATTACAATTTGTCGATTTTCGGTAATTACATTATATGTTTGTACCATCATTTTGCGAGCATCACAATTTAATACATATTGCAACCGATACGGTGGTGTCCTTAGATTACAATGACGTACAAACGTCGATTAAAGTCCAAAATAAATATGCAGTAAGATAAACTTAATTTGCTTATTTGGCATGTAAATCAATGAGCGTAATTACCTTTTGGTAAAATATTGTTCCCCCCCGTAAACTATATATATTGTGACAAGTAACACCTGGCGTACATTGATCTTGTGACTATATTGTTAATAGATGGGATAGAGGGTTTGTAAAGTTAATCTGTAACCAATGTCATATCTGACAACGGTTGTCTTGTAACCATTACATCAGTCATGTTTAAAAATAATTAATGATTGTTTATGATATTAATATCTTCTGGTGTAATATTAATGATCGTTTTTTGTGCTTTTTCCCGACATCTCCCTGAGTTTATTGTAGATCTGGTCACACAAGCCTAACAATCAACGCCTCCATCAATACACAATTAATACATCCCATCGGATAACTACTTTTTGTTTATTCTTTCTCAAGATGCTACTTCATGTAGAAACAACACCAGGTAAGAAGGAATCGCTGTTCATGTATTTGCAATTATTAGGAATTCCCGACTTCTAAAAACTATGTAAAACTATGTAGAATTATCTCTAAGCTATATAATGCAGTCATAATAAGCGAACGTCCATTGAGCAAAAATGTCCACGAGAAGCATTAAACCCAGCAGACTCGAGTGCAATCACTTTCCTATTCTAATTTCTCGTCACAATGGCATATTATACATCAATACATCATCACTCCTACGCTTTGATCCAGCCTGCTTGCCGGAAGAATTCCCACAGCTTGCAAGCCTTACTAACATCGATACGCACTACTCTTTGTGCATCTACTTTCCGGAACAACAAATTCCTCTCTTCATATTCTCTCGCAGCAGCCAAAATAACGTACTTTGTCTGCATATATGCGTCTGGAGTCATGCGTAGTATAGAGATCACTTGTCGCTCAACACGATGTAGTGAATCGATATGTGGCAGATTAGATACATCTGACGGCTCACCCCGCCAAGTCACTTTGGGTTTCTTCATGATTTCCAAGCTAGTGTTATCTAATTCAAGATCGTCAACATGTCTAACCAGATCATCCCATGCCATAGGTGGTGGTGCCGGTCTAGTCTTGTCTATAGTCGTCTCAAATACAGACGGATGTTTTATTCGAAGTCTTGTTGCTTTCTTATGTTTCCATACCTCTTTATCTAATAGCGCTTGTGGATTTTCTTTGAATATATCGTATACTGTACACTTGAAAGTTATGCTTTGCGGATCTCTGGTCTTTGATGGTGAGCGCAAAGGATAGGGATTCTTCCGTGGTTTTTTCTCCCTACAACTCCATTTTTGTACTTTATCTTCATTGGCCTTTTCCCACACCTCAGGAGGCACTTCATTAAGTAACCAGCGTTGCTTCTCTTTTGGCATTGCTACTGATGTATTGAGTGGAGTGTAATCGTGTCAACGATTAGTTATAGGACAGGTGCAAAGTTTATTGTCTAATGATTTGTGCTAGAAACGCAAATAAATAATGGTAGAAACTACTCACGAGAAGAATTAAGGGGTCTTGACTATGATTGTTTGATAATTAAGATTAGTGAAAGTATTATAATTGTCCCGCAGTAATATATCGACTAAAGTATTAGAAGGATGGGACTGGGTCGTTTGATGAGAATGTTGGTTCGTTATGAGAATGGCTTATGGAAATGTAATGTTATGAAACTATGTACAATTGAAAGTGAAATGTGTAAGATTAGTTGTATAAACAAATTTGCAAAAAAAAAAAAAAAAAAGATTAGGGAAAGAAGAATTCGGGGTAAAGGAGTGTCGGGGTAATTGTTGCCTGATTTATGGATTTTAACAAGTCATACCAGCCAATTGTCTGCGTACGGAGTGATCAGCATTATATATTCTTGTATTGTAAATGTTAATATTGTGATTACGTCATGCGATTGAAAATGGGGGAAATCACAATTGAACTAAATGTACAGTACAGCAGTATGTCTGATGCCGATGTTTTTTTGCTGCTAGTAAAAGTAAGTGCAATCGCTATAATTGGTTGATGTGCTTTTAGCCATTTAGGCTTTGTTTACACGAGATGGGAACCAATCAGATTGATATCTAACAATGACTCGAGACATCTTCAAAATATCTAATAGACATCGAGGAGATTATTACAATGACAATTAGCGCATTTAGGCACAAAGCCATCGGTTCTTCATACGTCCATGAACAATCTCATTGTGGTTTCCATTCACAATTTTACTCAAGAGACCTTTTACATGTTATTGTAGAATTGGATTATTAATAAATTGAATACAAGTTTTTATTGTTCAACCTATAGCAGAAAAGCGTGGTTACTTGTTATTGGAGATAACTTTGCCATAAAGCTGCCGAGAGTCAAACTGTCCCAAATCGTCGGTTGGCATATATTTAGTTCATCATCTACGTCTTGTATCACTATGTAGTGCGGCGTAACAGTATGTTATTGAGACAATATCCCGCATAACGCATTTGGTACATCAAAGCTACTTTGAGGCATAGTGGAGGGGACCACCACTTGAAAGTGTGTTACAATAAGCATGGATGCTGTTACAATATAGAGTTGCACTCGCCGGTTTGATTGGCTTACCTATGCCCCTAAGTGTAATCTTTTCTGAAAAGCCAATGCCTCGTGTCCACATTCCAGATGGAGACTTGCAGGTTTGGTACGAGCTTGACTTATTTGGTACATGTCGGAATGTATTTTCTGCAACCATTTCTACATAGAAGGCTGTTGTGCATACTAGACGCTTTCTGCTAGGTCGTATCATTGTTCGGCTCGCTATGGTTAGGTTTTCTGGGAGTCAGATTAAAATAATACGAAAGCCATAAAACGAATGTCCAGTCTAAATCATTCTTGATCCTGAGCGGGATAATATATTCGCTAATAGTTGCTGTTTCTCGGGTTAGACTTTATCTAAACTCTACTGTCTATATTTAGCTGCATCTGCTTTTATGCTCGGCTTTTGCAATGTCATTGTCCGCCGGCTATTAGACAAAAGTTCCACAATAGCATTCATTACTGTCATTTTACCCGATCTGGTCTTGGTTCATTGAACATCAAAATTTGTCCATTCAAAATATTGAGCATGGAACGTTTCATATCTTATTGAAAAGACGAATTACCGGTTGGTCAATCAATAACACTTATAGCATTCAATGTAGGTTGTGTAATAAAGAAGGACAAAGAGCAAATGCTTTTGTTACTGAAGGTAAAGACATTATGTATATAAGGAGCATCTCATATAAACAGTTGTATAAGTTAATTTCCTTTAGTATTAGAACTCAAATTTACAGTGGTATTGAAAGGGTTTCAAAGAAAACCTTCCTGTTTTAAAATCAATATATTAAACTTTACAAGAAGGTTTATCCCCCCCGAACTATAATATCAATTTGTTGTATATGCACTGTCACAGTAACGCTTTACAGTATTTTACGATTCCGGTAAGTTACTACAAATAGCAGCTTTTACGTAATGGGATTAATGAAATCGATTTCGACAAAAAAGGTGTTTGAACGTGCGATTTTTCAGTTACGATTCCCTGGGAAATAACTTTTTCCATTGCGCAAGCATTTCGTCAATCTACCACGGTTCTTAGTTAACGTATTAACATTGTTAGGCAAGTTGATTGTGAATCAGCGGCAGAGTTATTGATGTCTTTGTTGTTATTAAGAAAAGAATTGCCTCTAATAGAAGAACGAAAGTGCGGCATGAATTATTGTAACCCAGCATTTAGTAATGTAAGTTAGAAATATCTACAATAGTTGTTCGCAGGTTCTCAAAAGTAAGACTGAGCGTAGAGTAAATCTAAAAACCAGTTATTACATGCTCCTCCGCACTGTTTATTATTGAGTGTTTATGCTTTGCTATTAGTATTAGTATTAATTTAGCTACACGAACTATGAAATTTAGGCAGACTGATATTATGTAGAACTAAAATCAGTTGAGTAAGTGAGAATAATAAAGAGTGTATCAATATTTAAATTATTTTCTCAACCATACTTTATCAGTTTTCCTATTAACTTTACTCCTGCTCTCATATTGTTTCATCAAATAATGATTTGTAGGGTCTTTGGTACTGTAACATGGAAACTTATTCTTACTCTTGTAGTTGTCCTGTTTTCAAAATTGCGTAGTCATTGTGTGATATATGAGACAAGCACAGATTGCATTGCTTGTAATGAATGAGAGTGCATTCATGACTTGTGCTGAAACTCATCATAAATTTCACCCAGCAAGCCAAACAGCACAAAAGATGTTTAGATGTGTAATATACAACTGACTAATGCCATCTGATTTGAAACATTAATGAGCTGATATTTTCTGCATAGTCTTGTTTATGTCTTTTTGTTACTCCTTTTAACCGTGATTTTGAACATTCCAGTGAGGACGGGTAGTAAGAATGTTTTGTAATCGTACGAGAAACAGTTGTTTCTAAAAATCTTAAAATTTTAGTACTTTGATAGGTTTTCTTATTTTATAAAGGCCGACAGTTTCCATCGTGTTGGCGCTTATGGTTCATTTAATACCAGTAACATTAATTTTAATAATGTTACTGGTAATTATGTTTTAACTGTCTATAGTATGTTGTCTATCAAGTTTTCATTAATATTAATATTAATGTTCAGTATTTTTTTCCCCTAAAATTGTGGTAAGTTTTCTCTCTTTTAAATTGACAACTAACCCCGCGCGGATTGTAGAACGAAATACATAATAATCGATTGTCTTCTTTTCATGTTAACATGTACATCTAAAATTTTCAATAAGCTATATTCCTGTTCTGTAATTCTTTCATCAAGCCTTCCATTCAGCAATATTAATTGTACCAAACTTTTTTTTTTTTTTGGCAAAACGGCCAGAATTATTATATTCAATTCTTTGTCTTAACAATACCCAAACTTGTTTTTATTGTCCTGCGAACCAAAAGATATTCTCTTTCCAATATGATCATGTTTATGTAGCACGTGCTGGTGTAAGGGGCCAAATTGCTAAATTTCAGCAATTCTCCACACTTTCTATCTTCATTGTACATATACCTAATGTAGCGTTTCCCTCAATGACCATGCACCGCCACCGTGGCTGCGCCCGTTATACCGAAATTCGCACAAATAAAATGATTTTCTGTGACCATGTCTTGGCAATTTACTTGATCATCCGTTCAATGATCATCTACTACGCTCAAAAACTCTTAATTCTCGACGGCTTGATGTTTCTCCTAAAAGAAATAACCAATTAGTCTGAAAACATAGTGCCGGCATTGACGATACACTCCTAGGACTTTATTCTTCATACAGCTGACGAATTTCCAATTAAGAAGGCTTCAACTTCAAATTTGTCGAAATAATGCAAAATTACGTCACAAACATATATGGAAAGGCCTAACTAACCAACCAACGGGCTTGCCGCTAAGTAATTCTAAAACGGGAATTATAAAGCTACTATCAACAATATAAATATGAACGAAATCAATCATTCTTTTCTGCTACGGTATGCAGAAACGTCCCAGCACTCCGCCAACTGACTATGGGCCGTCACTCACCCGGCCAACATCCGAAGAATTAATAAAGGAATGCACAACTCCAACATCCGAAGACAAAGAGAGCGAACCACCAACAGTTGAAGTGGTCAATCCCGCTCATACGTCTGTAGAGGTACAACAAGTTGAGGATGATATTCGAGAATCGCCTATGTCGCTTGGAATTGGAAAGATTATCTTATCCTATTGTATGATATGTGTTTGTATTATTCTTATTGCGTTAATGGCATCTCCTCTAATAATACCAATTGTACTATTTAATGTGATGGAGGTAAGTGAATAAAAAAGGCCGTGGGATTGTCGGTTTGAAAGTATTTCGGCTGTTAATCACGTACATAATTAATTGGTAGGGTGGAGACCAAGTTTTTCTATGGATTTGCTCGAGTATTGAGATTTTCTTTGGTCTACTTTTTATATGGAACACCTACAAAGGATACTCTACAAATTATACAACACTCAATTTGATTGGGATATTTGCAGGTAATAACTTAAAATAGCAGTATTAATTCATTACCATATTTTTACAGATTTGTACTTATTACATAATAATTTCGTTTATTATCAGGAAAATACTCTTATGTCATAATATCAACATGGATATATCCGAAAATTCTTGTGTCTACTGAATTTACTCGATGCAAAAACTTTCCTCGCCTTATGATAACCAAAAGGTTGAAGTCACTCACCAATGCGTACTTGGTGGTTGCCGGCATCACTGCTTCCTTGTGGTACATGTACGTTTACATATATGCAAAAGAAGTTGCAAAAGGATATGCTGCTTCGCTATCTGCATTGAACTTTAGCGCATATGTGATCAATATTTCGGTACCCTTATTTCTTGCCTTATTACGCTGGCATTGATATCATGTGAAGTCGATTGCTTAAGGTCTATACTGGTAAGATCTACCACCCATGGAAAATGAATATCCGCATACGGGGACGCCGCTTTATCAGAGGTGAGCAGTTGAAGCGGATTGATGATGTCAAAAAGCACACGCACTCTCTAGATTCAACATTATAGTTTGTGAGCTGTCACTTTGTCGTGTGCACACAATCGTGATCTGTAGAAGTACTACGGCTATGTTGTTTGCTCCTATGTTCTATTAGTATTTATTTAATGGTTTCATACCCTGACTGAAACGTTGGTTTGTCATCAGCCAAATGAACATGTTTTTGGATTAGTATATACTCTGAAGTTTAGCATTGAACACGGCTGTCCCTTTCTCGTTGTTGTACATATACTTTATTTGAAGTAAGCATATAACATTATTGGCACTGATGATGCACACAGACAAACGAAAAATATCGTTTGACTCAGATGTCGATTAAAGGAATTTGTCAGTTTATAATTATTGCAATGCATACTGGAATAAAAGATTGTTGAGAGGACATGTGACTGTTGCAGCAAACAATTATAAAGTAGGTGAAGTATGAAGGTAGTAATGAAATTGGCACTTTGTTAGTACAACATGATTTATTATTTATGAAGAATATTAATAAGGCCGGCCATCGCTTGATGATGACTCGCCAATTCTAGCTTCTGACAGTTTCTCTCTGCCACAGGCGCCTTTCGTGTTAAACAACACTGTGCAATGAAATCAGCCGGCCATCGCTTGATGATGACTTGCAATTGCTTGCTCCCGACAGTTTCCCTCTGTCGCAGGCGCTTCCTTCTTGCTTAACAGAACTATTGGTTACAAGGAGGAGAAAATATAATTACTTAATTTAATGTAAAAGTTATAAGTTGTTCGAAGACGGAGAAAGAAATCGATTGTCGCGAAGCCAAGATTGCTGTATAAGGTAATGATCTTAAAGTCACATGATTCTGATCGTTACCAAATTAATGGTAACGGTTTTTTTTTAAAGAAAAACTTTATTGATTATTTTTAGATACAAGTGGGTCTCGATATAACGGTTCCAATCCAAATGGCCACTATATCGAGAATGTCCTTATATCGAGAATTAACTTACATACGATAACCAAGCAATATAAAATTTTTGTTCTAAGATTTCTGTCGTTATAACGAGATGTCGTTACAGGAGGAAGTACGCGGATCCTAAGGCCATTGAATGCGAGTCCCAGCATCACATTATTTTTTTACTCTCAGTTTGACGCTTAATTTTTTTATTACAAGCCAGATATGGGCAAACTCAAATTTTATATTTGAGAACGTATATACTAATACACATAAAACGCGCACACATGTTTAAAAAATTCGAAGTGAAGTTTTTTTTTCGTAAAGTAATAAACGGAAAAGGACCGGCCGGCTAAGTAAAAATAAAAGTAAAACAATAGAGTAGCGGGTTGTTTCAAGGGAGGAAAGGCATAAAAAAACACGCCTGCTTGTTAAGCCTGCCGAGCCCTAACCCATATGATGGCAGTTCCTTCCCCGCTACTCTTGATTATCTGAGTTATTAACTAAACTACGAGTAATTTTTTTATTATCTACCCATCTCATAATATAATGTCATTCACATAGTACACATGGGCAGGAGAGATTTTTGAAAAAAAAAGACTTCATATGTTTACTAGTAAAAAAAAAATGAAATCCAGTAATTTATGGTAGGGCAGTGTATATATAGAAATGGCATAGTTTTTTGTATAATACGTAACGGGATATAAACGAGGTTAGATAACTATAAAATTGGGAAATTGGGGATTGTGAAAGTTGGGGATAGGGATATATCTGAGTATACAACTGAGGGGGTCCGTATTATTTCATCGACAATTATTTCACCGACAGTACATTTCACCGACAATTAACTACCAAAAAAGGATAACTTCGAAATAATGTTGGTGAAGATTTGTCGGTGAAATGATTGTCGGTGAAATGATTGTCGGTGAAATGATTGTCGACGAAATGATTGCCTCCCAACTGAGGTATGACTGTATTTTATCGTCACACGAAATTACGAATCCGTCAAATGTATTCCTTGACTTTTCGACAAGAAGTTTTATTTGCAAAGTCCTCAAACAATATTCTCCATAACCAAAAATAGGTGTTAGCATTTTCCTTTAAATTCCGTTCTACATCAACCATCCGTGGCATTGGTCCTTTACGTTTCGATGTCGACGACCACAATAAACAGTATGTTATTAACTATTAATAGCTATTCTAAAAGAATAGATCTACATTTACATAGGACGGTCCTTGCCCCCTGTAAAAATTATCTATTCGTCACGACAGCGGTAATTATTTGCGTAATGGTAAGATTATTTACTAACAATCACAAAAAAAATTAATTGATTATTTGAGTTTGCCATTTATAACCGAATGGCTCGCAAAAACAAGCCGAAAAACGCTCGACGTTGTACACAGGGTAAATTCACTGAAAGCCCGAAGCAATACTTACTGTTTTGTAATAAGGTCAAGTATTTACGACCATATTATTGACAGAGGGTTAATAATAGTCGTAAACAAGTACAGAGGTGAAACCAAAGCGATATTTAACTACGAAGAAGTGTGTCGATATCTCAATGCTATTGATATATAATAATAACCAATATTAATTTTGCACGATATTCCGACTAGCTAATAATCGATATGTCAATCAATTCACTCGATGAACTTTGAGACCCAGAAAATGCTTACCGATTCGTCGAGAACTCATTCATCACAGTTTTACTTCCAATCGTTATTTAAACTATCATCTCTATGTCTATAACGGGTCCGTATTATTTCATCGACAATCATTTCATCGACAATTAACTACCCAAAAAGGATAACTTCGAAATAATGTTGGTGAAGATTTGTCTGTGAAATGATTGTCGGTGAAATGATTGTCGACGAAATGATTGCCTCCCGTCTATAACGTCTAAAGGTGAGTTGGTCACAGATCACCAATATCAAACCCCTTCCCATCACGTTCCAACGTCTAATC